ACAAGAATTAAAAAAACAAGAAGAAGAGTTCAAAAATAAAGAAAAGGTATTGATACTTAACTTTTAGTGTCTTATACATATTTGCTTATTTTTACTGAAACATGTCTTTACTGGGGGTCTATCTGTAATTACTTGATACTATTTTGTAAGATYATTGTACACAGATAATATATTCTATATTATTTTGCTTTAAACCTTTTTATTGTTAATCTTGGGTATGTTATCAGTTGATATAGTGACATTTGTTATTATTATTCATTGTTGCCTGTTGGATGTCCTATTGATCAACAATCGACCAAACAATGATAAAAATATGTAATGTTTAATGTTTATGCATGGAGTTCAGTGACTGGTATATGATTTCAGCGTGTTTCAATTTGCTCCTTTATATTTTTCTAACCTGAGCATCTGGCTTAGAACGTTCATCAACTTAAGTCATCTCYATTACATGTTTTTTGAAAATGAAACACTATCATGCAGGATGAATTGTCTTATTTATCTATAAGTATTAAATTTCTTACCAGTCACTTTTAAAATACAGTTTACTTGGTTTGTAAAATATAATATTTTACAAAGCTATTCTGGTAAATTAGTAAATAATATGTCATTAAAAATGTTAAATCTCTGTATATTTATGTATGTTGATGATAGTKAATTTATCTGATTTTTTATCTTTCTTCACTTAACACATGAATTACCTCTGTTCAATGTTTGTGTCTGTATACAATGTATAACACAAAGTATCATCATTATCTTGTATTTTTTTAAGTTGATCAAAGTTACTTTTTAATTTCTTGTAATTCAAAAGACATGTTCATAAAATAATGAATAATTATCATCTTATATTTTCAATGAGGGAATGGATGTAATTTTACCTATATTTAATATATTATTGCTATTTTTCTGAACACTAATTTATCGTGATTACAAGCAAGTAGCTCGTAAAAAAACCTAATAGGTATAATTAATTAAATGATGAGATGTATTTTGTATTAATTATTATGTATCATTTTAAATAGGTAATGCCGTGGAATGTTGATACTATAAGTAAACCCGGTTTTACAAAGACGATTCTGAACACACCCAAAGCTCTACCAACCGAAGAAAATCTGACTGAAGAAGAGAAAGCTAAACGATTAGAAACATTTATTAATGAAAATAAGAGTAAATTGAAAGTCTTTGGTATGTTCAGAAAATATAAAGATAGTCAAGAATATTTACAAAAAAATCCTCAGCTTGTATGTGAGGACACTGCAAATTATTTGGTTATTTGGTGCATTGATTTACAAATGGAAGGCGTAAGTTCTATTTGAAAATCATTATTATTAACATGTATTCATAGCAGCGTTTCCTCCTCAGAAATCAGATTTAATGGAACATGTAGCCCATCAAACAATTTGTATGCAATATATTTTGGAACTCTCAAGGCAATTAAATATTGATCCAAGAGCATGTGTACCATCATTTTTTTCAAGGTGTGTTATTATAATTTATTTATTATTTATCATAACCGCTTAGTTGGTATATTTTTAAAACTTTAAAATTGTTTTATTAAATGTTATGACCATTTAAAGTTAATTTTATAGATTTTATATTTGAGTTCATTACTTATTGTGATAGTTAATTATGAAACTCTATAGGTACTCTTCAACAAATTTAAGTGTGATTAAATAATGAATATTGATGCATAATTTAATCTAATTTAATTTTTAAGAATACAATTAGCTGAAAAACAGTACAAAGATTCTTTCGAAGAAGAACTTAACATGTTTAAAGATCGTATCCGGAAAAGAGCTGAGGAAAAGATACGTATTGCTCAAGCTGAAATAGAAGAAGAAGAGCGAAAAGCAAGACTAGGACCAGGTGGTCTTGATCCAGTTGAAGTTTTTGATAGTCTTCCAGATGTAAGAAGTCTATTGGAAATCATTGAAAGTCAATAAGTAATTTATAAACCATGTTTCTTTTAGGAGTTGAAAAAATGTTTTGAATCGCAAGATATTCAGTTATTGCAAGATACAATTAAAAACATGAACCAAGAAGATGCTACTTATTACATGAAGCGCTGTGTAGATTCTGGATTATGGGTACCTGACGCTAATAAAGATAARAGCAGTGCTGAAGACGATGATAAAACCCAAGAAGAAAATATTTACTCTGAAATAAACAGCTCATAAAATAATCTTATATTATCCTATTCATTGATTAATTTATATTTATTAGATTATAATAATTTTTCTGGTTCTAAATGTATCTGTTATACATATGACAAAGTATGAAATTCTTTTGGTTGCATTATAATAGTAAAACTAATTTTTTTTATATAATCAAATACTGTTTGTTAAGTGTTTATAATGATAATAATAATAGTATTTATAATATTATTTAAAATAATTTGTTTATTATGATGTACATAATAATCATTTTTTTTCATTTGTTTCCTTATTACTGCTTTTATCACATTCTTTTTGTAAAAATGGTAAAGGTATGGGTATGGGAATAGGTATTGGTATTGGTAACATAATAGGATATGGCACTAATACCATAGGTGGTGGTAGTAACGATGGTGGCAAGTTCAATGGGTAAAGTGATGAAGGTGTTGAATCAGCATTTGTTGGTATGCTGCTATTTGTCGACYGAGATTGCGTGAATGCTGGTGTACTACATATCGGTGGTGTACAATAAACTGGCGCATTCGGTGGAAATTTAGGGTAAACAGGTGGCACAGTGTCATCGACTGTTGGTCTCTTGCGTTTTCGGTTTTGACGGTCAAAAAGTTTACTGGATATACGTAGCTGTGGAACTGCGGGTCCTGGTGTAGGAGGGGAATGAGGCTTTTGAGGAGACGGTGATCGGTCTGTAAGTGGCGGAGAATGACAATCGCGTAGCCATAGGTCGGGTGTAATGAGTGGCAAGTTCGGCTCCATGGTTTTACATAGGTTTTCTGGCAGCGACGTGTTCTGTAGGTGAGGGTGCAATTCTAACTGCGCTTGAGTTTCTTTGCAGAAGATGTTCATCTTATACTGGTTTAAACATTTATCACTGTGAAAGCAAACACAGAAATTGCAATTATTTTATGATTACTCATCGATGTCTTTGAGATAAAATCAAATTAAAAACTCTTTACGTTTGTCACCTGCAGAATTGTAGCTGATGATCGCCGTCTTGGAAATCTACACAGTTGACTGTGTGTCTCAGATGTCTACACCAATCGCATTTCTTATTTCGTTTGAAATTTGCTCTACGGTAATGCGAGAAACATTGTTCGGAACAAAACACTTTCTCATTGTCCGATTCGGCTGTGCGGAATGTAAACGCTTTGGCTATTAACGTTTTGTCACACCATCCGCATGTCATTTGTTGTACTGGTGAGTCTATTTACAAACAATTGGGTATTAATATATGCATTAAGGTATTATATTTTATTGAAAATTTAAAACTCGAAATTAGTTMATTTTCAATTTGTAGAGACAATTTTAAATACAACTCATGTTATAAGTAATAAACTAATAAAGTAATAACCAATAACGGTAAACAATTAACTATTGCAATCTGTAGCATCATTATAGTATCAGATCACGATTCATAACATATGACGGAACTAGACCTTCCTAGTGTACATCGATTTTGAATAAGTGTATCCGATTTTTTCAATACGTACAATGTATTAGAATGGTTAGATATTATTCAATTATTATTTTTTTTTCCACTCCATTTAGGAGCTTCTATTTATTATTTGCACCGGTTTGAATATATAAATGAAAAATATTATAACGTATGATCTAAAATGTAGGTACCATAATTTACATAAACAGAACGAAATTCATGAAATTCCTATTTTAACATCTACAACTTTTAAGGAATCAACTATTATAGGTAGGTAACTATACCAAAAGAGTGCAGGACAGTATTTTAGATTTTAAAATCTATAAGGAAAAAATTAAGGATTTAAATGTCAAGCATATTCTTGATATTGGTGGTCCCACGGGTGGGGGGGGGAGAATCGATCAACCAATCACCCCCTCCCCTCCTCATGGCCTATATTATATTACAACAAAAATCTGATAAATGATAATATATCAGTTTTTTACATTATTTTACGATCTATCTGAATTAAAAAATATCATTAACTTGCCAGCCATGATTTTATTCAAGAAAATTTCAAAGCTTATATTAGTCATAAACTCATAATATATATCTTTTAAAATATAATGTAAGTATACAAATTACACCTTAAAAATAATTTTTAAGTTTCCTTGAGTTTTATCTTCTGTTCTAAGATTTTTAACTTTAAGCTAAACACTTGCTTTTATATGCTTTTATAGAGTAAAAACATGGCAACGGTAAAAAATGGGGAACACCAGACTTAGTGGCTTAGCATAATTAAGTAAGTACTTCATGTTCATAGAGATGTAACTATAAGCCATGAAAATATTATGATCGATTTACAACACAAATAAAACGAAAACGAATTTAAAGTTAAGAAACTATTATTTTTGTGACTAATATTTATTATTTTTAAAAATTGTTTTTGATGACGTGAAAAATATCTCTCCTTCCTTGGAATTTGTCAAGGACTGCCACTGATTCTCACAGCAAAGCTAGAGCCATTCAATTGAGTGCATGGGCTCAAGCCTATAGCTAAAATGTTTAACAGAGGGAAGGGGTTGTGGGACTACATCTTAATGTACTTAATACACTAGAAAATATATTAAAACCATGAATACCAAAACTTGTACCGGCAAAGTACATTTATTATAAAATAGTATTTTTTAATTATAATTGTATTTTTATATCAGTGGCCAATCCACGCCTCCCGCACCCCTAGTACGTAGACTATCTTATAGATAATCTTATAATATAGTAAAAAAATGGGAAGCTTAATAACAGTTCACCGACGGGCGACGGGGTCTAATCCGTATATTCCGCCATTCAGGTATTACACGAGCGCTGAGCGGCGATACCTAAATATATCTGATTATACTGCTATTTGGTTTACCCACACCGTTCATAACATACATGATGATGTACATGCACAAAATATATATTTCACATAATATACTGTATACATATCATTGCAATCGGGAATTTGAAACTAACCCTGCAAAACATATTATAGGTATAGGTATTATTATAGGCATAGGTACAACTGAATGTGGCGATTATTACCCCGTCGCATATAACACACGGCCGGGGTACGCGCGGAATGATGGGCTGCATCACACACTCGGCTTACACAGAGATGAGACGAGATGACCCTTATTTTCGTTATACGAGACATCCGAGAGCGCTTTTTACGCCCGAACGATATTGTATTACGATGACGAGACGACTACAACACACGGACGAGTCTTTGTGTTATACGTCGCGCCGCCGATTGCATGTATATATAAATATATATAAATCGTACCAAAATGTATATAATATTAATATGTGCACACGTACACACACACACATGGCGTTTAATATAATACGAACACTGCGAGGCTGCGTATATTACGAGTATTATATTATATGGTATTATTATTATTATTATTTATACATTGTAATACACGCTATCTAGTCCTCGGTCGGAGTAGACTCGCGCAGGGCTGTATAGGTATTATGGTTATGCGCCGACTAGGGACATTCTCTGTCCAGACCGAAAATAACTATAACGCAATATAGGTACAACCACCGCGGCATTTTACTACACAGCGCACTATGACGGCGCGTGTTTGGTTATTATATTATACAGTATACACTTATATAATACACGTCTTGCGTCTTGTACAGATGTTGTACACCGCATATAAATATAAACCCAATATCCATAACATTATACGTTAAACATTATGTGCGCGTGTACAATATTGTTATTTTAAATTAAAATATATATTATTTTCGTGCATCGTACGAACCAGCTCTGGTCCCCGTGTACGCAGTGAATTGTAGTATACACTAATTTTATCATCCGACATCTGGTTCTTATGACTATGCACACACTATTTATTATATGATTAATACCTGTTTGTAGCATATCAATCATGGCCGATCTAAAACAATTATTCGAAATTACGTTAAAATCAACGGATTTAAGGATTTGTATCTTTAAATTGGTTTTGTGAAATTGTGGTATAGGTATAAGCACGGCGTGTTATCTGTGAAAAATTAAAGTTTTATCATGGCTTATTTATAATGAGCAAATATTGTACTACCAAAGCCAATGAGGCCAATCTTACGAATCTTTGGTAAAAATGTAGATTTAATAAGAATATCGTGGCATCCGAAAAAAATGTCAGACATTACGGCTAATCCAAAGAATGAATATTAAGCTATTGAGATCCGAGGCCATAGTTTTTGGTAAATATAACTTTTCAAAAAAACTGCAAAGTTTACCCACACGTTTATTAAGTCTTAGTATAATATTGTTCATTATAGATGCCAACTAACTTTCAAAATTCCTAGGACAGAGTAGTTTTTTGTTCGTTCCTCTTAATTCCTGCAGAAATGTTGGGAAAACTGAAATTGGCCATGAATCATGGCGGATCTTAAATGATATTGTGACGATATATTATTATATTGTATATATTTGTGTGTATATATATATATATCACATATAAAGAGATGTCGAAATATCTGAGCATTCGAACCGAGTTACGTTTCGCTTTGATCATCGCACGGCTTTATTGGTATCGAACTTTAAATATTATAAGTCACCGAYATCTGATGATATGCTCTGATATGCAGTATTAATAAAGCTGTTGTGCTGTACTATTACATAATATCGACGTTTAAATATAGATAAGTACTATTAATAAATAGCTAACATTAATTCCTTTAAATTTATTTATTTTACTTCATAATAAACTTCACGATTTTCGTGTAAATTTAATTTTGTAATTAAAAATTCAGAATATACCTACCTACGAACTACCTACCGAATGGTGTCGCGTGACAGATAGTAAGTATTCAGTAACATAATATAGAGTTTCTCTTCACCCTTTTTAATTTAATTTTTAGCTTAATGAAAATTTAAATATATTATACTAAATTTTAAAAATAATTTTCATTGAATTATCTAGCTTGATTGTTTCTTTCCTTTTTGTGTCTACAAACATAAAACAAAATTGAAAATATACCTTTACGGCTCTACCCACCACCAGTCAACCTGTGACATGTCAATTTACGCACCTAAAGTATTTTTAACATCGATGTTAAAACGTATTTATGTACACCTTCAGTTTTAGAAATAATTATTAGGTAGGTAAGTTTTTATTAGTTTTACTTAAGTTTACTTAAGTTTAAGTATATTTAATATATATGGTCTTACTCTTACTACTTGTATGTACATATACAAATATACAATTCATTATTAATTATATAATATAAATCAAATTACTCGACGTAGTTGGTGATTGTGGACTATTATATTCATCTGACGAAGTTTCTGGTTCCGTGCTTTTTGAGCGACCTCTATATTTTTCTCTGAGCTTAACTAAATTCATACTTTGCAGCGAACAGTCTTTGGAATTTATTTTTTCATATCCGTACCATCCGAGCATCTCGTTCATTGTGGTTTTCACATACTCCTATAAAATATTATTTACAATATATTATCTATAATATTATATGACATGCCTACTAAATTTAGAATACATAAAAGATAAAACTATAGATAATATAATATATTTGTACAATATAGATATAAATATATATTTAAGTGCTATTTTGTACTTTTTATTTATACGTTTATTAGTTTATATTGTTTATTAAAACAAGTAACAACCGTAATATATAATATTGTATCTATATAAATATAAAATCGCGTAATTTTTAATTGCATGCAAGGAAACTACGTAGTTAGAATAAGTAGCACCAGGCACGCCCGCAGAGATGCAGCTCAGGGGGGGCAAACAAAATTTTTTTTAAATAAAAACAAATTTAACTTTACATAAAATTACACTATTAGTTCTAATATTTATAAGAAAGAACATACTTAATACATTTTAAACAAAAAACCACTTTATTATTTTAACGTCGTACATTATACGATATAATTTATAATCCCGTTTGCTTTATTGCTTTCCAAGTATTTTKATTTGATKATTATAATATTATGTTTTTCATACAAGATTTCGGCAATYACGCCTAACCAGCCAAAAGTATTGAAAATAATCGTAATGTCTTTTATTGCGATTAAATACCTCCTATATGACTTGTTAGATACAAGGATTGTCGAATAGTCGCTCAAGATCAACTTTATGTAAAAAAACTTCCAATTTCGTAAGTGACACGAAAAATCTCAGGGGGGCAATGGCCCCCACTGGCCCCTCCCTTCGGGCGTCCCTGAGTAGCACCTACAATAAACTAATTTTTTATTTTRTTAAAATATATTATGATTAGTTTTAGGAAATGATTTTTTAGGCTTAAGAGTAAGCTATTTATAAGATCGCTAGGACAATTATTAAGTTACAACTTACAATTTACAAGCGTTACAGCATTTCTTTTACTGGACGTTAGCTATAGATTTAAGATTTTTCGTAATAATTAATATGCCGGTATCTGTAAGGCTCTAGTGGGTGCAGTTATGATGAGTGGGGTTCAAAATTTAAAAAATTAAAAAATGATGTAAGTACATTGGTACGATGAAATTTGTGTAGTGTAGACCTCTTACAAATAACAGAACTAAACAAATAAAATCAATCAAATATAATGAAATCAATAATAATTGTGAACGTATTCTAGAACATTGTAGAATTTTATTGAAGCTTTAATAATTATAATTCAAAATCTTAAATAATAAAACTGTTTTGTTCCAGATTCCAAAGTCCAAACATCATAGATTGTTCTGTGCACATTACGCTGACGAAGAAGAAATTTGCGATCAGAATTGGTGAACTAACGTTCATTGGTTGAATGAGGAATAGGTGATTAAACATCAATTATAAGGTATGGTAGATACCCATAAACCAATTATAAGGTGTCAAGGTGTGGTAGATACCTATAAATAACAGTATACAATAGTGATGAACTGTCTAAAAAAAAATATGTGTGAATGAATAAATTTTGAACGCTAATTCTCTCAAAGTACATGAAGTRCTCAGACTTACTAGGCGTTAGCTATAAATATTGGTCACTAACTTGAATTTTTTTTTATGTATGTGATAAGTGCTTATTTATCAATCAATTGATTTGCATCAATATTAGAAAGCGTCGTGTAAACCAAGATGGTGCGCCTTGCATCTCAGTGAAATAAAGCTGCAGAGGCAAGGTCAAATAAAACACCACACTTACAATAAATTTAAATTGTTCTTGATATGATGACAATTAGTATAATAATTATATAAATTAATAGTTAAAACTAAAATAAATAGCCCGGCATTTTCTCCGTGGGTTACGTGTACATGATGCGTATACGCCGCAAGGCCATATTAATGTCGTTCAGTGGCCCAGGGGCAACAAAAACAAAATCTATTCGAATACTCAATTTTACAGAAACAAAATTTACTAATTTATGAATGATTTTCAAATTGAAACAAATCTATACGCTATAAAAATGACAATTTAAAAATTTCAATTTTCTTTTAGGATATTGTGACCCAGAAAATTCTTGAATTATATTCATTATTACAATTAATGGTCAAGGTTATTTCACTCTCTATGTTTAATATGGCTACAGCCTTTATACTTCAATAGATAATAGTATAAATTATGGTAAAAAATTACTAAACATAACATCTTATATTGTTTGTACGAAATAAATTAATGTAATGGATCAAATCAATGAAAATACCAAAAATTAGACGCTCTCTCAAAATCAGCCACTCGGTTATACATGTATACATCGAGCAAATAACCACCTTGTTTACTTGGTTTTCTAATTCGTTGTTGACACAATTATTGGTATCAAAAACATGAATTTATGATAACAATTTAATAAATAGTAATCATCATACCTACTCAATACTCATATAGGCCATATAATCAATCACATTAACAATAATGCGAACAATTTCAAAAAATGTTTTCGTAAGGATTAGGGCATTCAAAACATATAGATATAATATAAACCTGTACATTTTTTAATTTGTTTATTGAATGATCAAATGTAATTTGAAAGTGCTGTACAATAGGCATTGATAGTTGAATGTTGGTAGGCGAAGAGTGCTTCCATTAAATAAGGCACTTGAGAGTTGAGCTGCATATTATAGACAAGTAAAAAAAAAATATGTTAACAGCTTTGCCACCCTTAAGTTATAATTTATGTCTTACATACCATCTAACTTATGTATTTTAAAGGTACCTATACTTACACTATACCTACTTATACCAATCAATGGTTAAACTATATAGGTAGATACTATACAGTAGTCTAACATTCATCGCTTAACCTGCAGCACACACGCGTAGTTTATGTTTTATATTCCTATAATTAAATGCGTATCAAATATTTTATGAACCTATCTATATTATTGTTTACACCTATTTCGAGATATTAAAAAGTCAAAGTCAACTTCGGGTTGATGTATACACGAGCCTACGACACTACTATATATACATACGGATTGTTATGGTAGTTCAGTAGTTCACACGTGGGCTCACAAAAATAATTTCACCTGGAATTCTTGAAATAACATTTTGAGTGGTGTACCTCATCGTACCCGTATAGTGTATAAATATTATATTTATTCATTATACAATATATATTATTATTGTACCTATAAAATGATAATACGCATCCCGCCATCACGCGTGTAAGCAGTTATGAAGGAGAGACAAAAATGGATTGATTAAAAGCTGTTCTTGTTTTTCCACAGACATTTATACCGTGCTTCATGACGTCGTCGCCCGGATAGTATTGGGTGACGCACAAAGGACGGATAATGATAGCTATATAGTGTGGATATCGGGTGAAATAATGAAATATAATGTGTAACTGTAAACCCTAAAGTGAGGACACAATAATGTGATGTACACCTATATATATATATATATATATATTTATACATATTACATTATGTACACGTACTATAACAGTATATTAATATTATATGTATGTGTTTATCAGTTATACACACACACGCACACTCTGTTTGGTTAGAAAATATGAGATATATTATGTACACAATAATAAAACTAGTTTATTTAATATAATACGAGTGCTAAAATTGAGTTCTCTATCAACTATTCAATTAATAGTATTAATAATTATAATTAAGTACCTATTACGACCTATCTATCGCATAATCTTATAATGTCCAGTATTCATAATATCTATCATATTAAACGGTATATTATAGTATATAGTCCATATATTAATTTATATTTAAATTTAAGTAGATACATGCAATTATGATTTATGATTATGCCATCTACTACCATTTGTCCCTTTATCAAAAATGTTTGTGCTTACATTGATGTCAAATTCGGAGGGAAACAGTACCCGCAGTAGATACATATCATGGTTAGTTAGGTAGGTGGACACATGTAAATTAGTATTTTAATATTTTAAATGTCCTATTTTGATATCAGTAATGCGTGCATATATACGATTAATTAATTTTGTAGTTTGAAACAAATTAAGTAGGTTAGCACTTCGCAATTTCTTTCTAATTTTCGTATTAATATAATTTTGTATAACTTACTTAAAACGTATAAACTTATTATCACAAACAATAAATCATATTTTCATGTCTTGGAATGAATCCAAATTCCGATGAAAAATTATAATTCAAAATAATTTGTCGTATATTCTATGTATTATACGAAAAGTATCAAATATTGCATGTAATATGATAATAAACATGGTACTATGCTCATTGACAAAGTTTACTCGAAACACAACAAAATGACTCTCCTGGTGACATGGTCTTTTTGAATAATGCATTAATGACAATATTATATATCATTATGTTTTTTTTTTTAAATGTATTATAATTATTTAAGAAAACAGAACCCTTGGTTGTATGGCCATTGATGATTACTGCATATTTTATTACATTTTTAATGACATTTTAATCAATGATACAAAATAATTGTATAACCAGCAAGCACGCCCGCAAGATAAATCCCACCCGGGGCAAGATCAAAGTTCTAACCTAACCAAATCAAAAAGATTATTTTAAATTTTAATATATTTCTAGTGTCTTCATTCTAAAATAGCATAGGTAACCTAAATAGAAAAAAACAACATTATGTCATCACATATAAGTCCCTTAAATGTGTAGGTTTACAATACAATATTAATATTTTTTGAATGCTTGTAATGTAGATGTTACAAATTAATTATATTTATATTAATTATCAAATAAAAGTTGTATGCGTCTTGGTTGCTTAAAAAATGATTAAATAACGTCTTCAATAATTTTTGTTTTTGCTTTTTAACAATGTCTTTAATATGCGTGGCATTGCCTAAACCACTAAAGCTAGTGTCAAGTTTTCAGTTATCTATAAAAATTAATATATTAGGATAATGCATATTATATAGCATTTTCAACATTTTTTGATATAGTTGTACTTGTAAGTTGAGCAATTACTGTCAGTGACTGACACTGACACAGTGTAACTCAGGTGGTAATTAAAAATATTT